AATGTCGAACCAAAAAGTGTCCACGTTTTATCCACGATTTTTCCCCATGAATACATGCGGGTACTATGATAACACTAACTACACCAAATGAAAGATTAGAGAGAATTTACATTGTCTCTAGAAGGATTTATTTATTAAGTTCTTTGGACTCTACAGGTAGTTTTGAAATATCTGTTTGCATGTCTTACCTCGTATCCTAATTCAAAATTTTGTAGTTTAATTAAAATATGGGGAAATGATTCAAAATAAACAGCCCCAATGGCAATTTCAACAAGAAACAACAAGCGAGGGCGATGGAACACGTGAGCGTGAAACCAAATAAAAGGAGAAAAAAATTGTCCCTTTTGCAAATACAAAGAGGGAAAGCAATTAAATATAGGCAGATTTGGCAAGGTTCTCAGAAATGCAAAGAGGTTCCTTTTGTCTTAATTCTCTTTCCTTCTGTGTTAATTCTCTTTCCTTTTGCTCGTTGCCATATATGCTGGTGCATACAAACATGCAATGTGTATATGGATAGCAAAATAATTTTCTACTTTCTATTTTACCGTGATTCTTCTATCATATGATAGGCAATATTCAATCAAGAAGAATTGCACCAAAAGACGCAGCATGCGGGAGATGTCGTGGGATCGCGGGCGTGGAGGGACGGACGAACCAAAATAAATATCGCATCAAAAAATGTCCACACTTTTTTTTAGTTGTAGGAGATCTGCCTCAAGGATATTGGTAGGACGATGGACCCATGTTGGAATGTCGTACCAAGAAAGTGTCTACGTTTTGTCCATAATTTATTTCCAATGAATACATGCGTGTACTATGATAACACTAACTACACCAAATAAAAGATTAGAGAAAATTTGCATTGCCTCCAGAAGTATTTATTTATTAAGTTCTTTGAACTCTACAGGTAATTTTGAAATATCTGTTTGCCTGTCTTACCTCGTATCCTAATTCAAAATTTTGTAATTTAATTAGAATATGAGGAAATGATTCAAAATGAACAGACCAAAGGGCAATTTCAGCAAGAAACAGCAAGCGAGGGCGATGAAATACGTGAGCGTAAAACCAAATAAAAGGAGAAAAAAGTTATCCCTTTTGCAAATGCAAAAAGAAAAAGTAATTAAATGTAGCCAGATTTGGTAAGGTTCTCAGAAATATAAAGAGATCCTTTTATCTTAATTCTCTTTCCTTTCGTGTTAATTATCTTTCCTTTTTCCCGTTGCCATGTATGCTGGTGCATGCAAACATGCAATGTGTATATGGATAGCATAATAATTTTTTACTTTCTATTTTGCCGTGATTCCTTTATCATATGACAGGCAATATTCAATCAAGAAAAATCGCACCAAAGGACGCAGCATGCGGGAGATGTCGTGGGATCGCAGGCGTGGGCAGACGGACGAACCAAAACAAATATCGCAGCAAAAAATGTTCACACTTTTTTTTTAGTTGTAAGAGATCTGCCTCAAGGATATTGACAGGACGATGGACCTATATTAAAATGTTGCACCAAAAAATATCCACGTTTTGTCCATGATTTATTTCCCATGAATACATGCGAGTACTATAATAACACTAACTACACCAAATGAAAGATTAAAGGAAATTTACGTTGCCTTCAGAAGTATTTATTTATTAAGTTCTTTGGACTCTATAGGTAGTTTTGAAATATCTATTTGTATGTCTTACCTCGTATCCTAATTTAAATTTTTTAGTTTAATTAGAATATGGGGAAATGATTCAAAATGAACAGACCCAAGGACAATTTCAGCAAGAAACAACAAGCGAGGGCGATGAAACATGTGAGCGTGAAACCAAATATAAGTAGAAAAAAGTTGTCTCTTTTACAAATGTAAAGAGGGGAAGTAATTAAATGTATGTAGATTTGGCAAGGTTCTCAGAAATGTAAAGATATTTCTTTTGTCTTAATTCTCTTTCCTTTCGTGTTAATTCTCTTTTATTTTTCTCGTTGTCATATATGCTGGTGCATGCAAATATGCAATGTGTATATGGATAGCACAATAATTTTCCACTTCCTATTTTGCCTAATTTCTCTATCACATGACGGCAATATTCAATTAAGGAGAATCGCAACAAAGGACGTAGCATGCGGAAGATGTCGTGGGATCGCATGTGTGGGCAGACGGACGAAGCAAAATTAATGTCACACTAAAAAATATCCACACTTTTTTCTTTTTAGCTGTAGGAGATCTATCTCAAGAATATTGGTAGGGCGATGGATACATGTTGAAATGTCACACCAAAAAATATCCACGTTTTGTTCATGATTTATTTCCCATAAATATATGCGGGTACTATGATAACACTAACTACACCAAATGAAAGATTAGAGAGAATTTGCGTTGCCTCCAGAAGTATTTATTTATTAAGTTCTTTGAACTCTACATATAGTTTTGAAATATCTGTTTGCTTGTCTTACCTTGTATCCTAATTTAAAATTTTGTAGTTTAATTAGAATATGGGAAAATGATTCAAAATGAACAGACCCAAGGGCAATTTCAGCAAGAAACAGCAAGCGAGGGCGATGGAACACGTGAGCGTGAAACCAAATGAAAGAAGAAAAAAGTTATCCCTTTTGCAAATGCAAAGAGGAGAAGTAATTAAATATAGGCAGATTTGGCAAGGTTCTCAGAAATGCAAAGATGTTCCTTTTGTCTTAATTCTCTTTTCTTCCGTGTTAATTCTCTTTCTTTTTTACCCGTTGCCATGTATGCTGTTGCATGCAAACATGCAATGTGTATATAGATAGCATAATAATTTTCTACTCCCTATTTTACCGTGATTCCTCTATCATATGATAGGTAATATTCAATCAAGGAGAATCACACCAAAGGACGCAACATGCGGGAGATGTCGTGGGATCGCAGACGTGGGCAGACGGACGAACCAAAATAAATGTCGCACCAAAAAATATTCACACTTTGTTCTTTTTAGTTGTAGGAAATCTGCCTTAAGGATATTGGCAGGACGATGGACCCATGTTGATATGTCGCACAAAAAAGTGTCCATATTTTGTCCACGATTTATTTACCATGAATACATACGGGTACTATGATTACACTAACTACACCAAATGAAAGATTAGAGAGAATTTGCATTGCCTTCAGAAGTATTTATTTATTAAGTTCTTTGGACTCTACAGGTAGTTTTGAAATATCTGTTTTGCATGTCTTATCTCGTATCTTAATTCAAATTTTGTAGTTTAATTAGAATATGGGAAAATGATTCAAAGACCCAAGGGCAATTTCAGCAAGAAACAACAAGCGAGGGCGATAGAACACGTGAGCGTGAAACCAAATGAAAGAAGGAAAAAGCTGTCTCTTTTGTAAATGCAAAGAGGGGAAGTAATTAAATATAGGCAGATTTAGCAAGGTTCTAAAAAATACAAAGAGGTTCCTTTTGTCTTAATTTTCTTTCCTTCTGTGTTAATTCTCTTTTCTTTTACTGGTTGCCATGTATGCTGTTGCATGCAAACATACAATATGTATATGGATAGCACAATAATTTTCTACTTTCTATTTTGACATGATTTCTTTATCACATGACAAGTAATATTCAATAAAGGAGAATCGCACCAAAGGACGCATCATGCGAGAGATTTCGTAGGATCGCAGGCGTGGGCAAACGGACGAAACAAAACAGATGTCGCACCAAAAAATGTCCACACTTTGTTCTTTTTAGTGATATATATATTTGCTCCTACTGCATTTAGTTGCAGCCTCCATCACTAACTATCGTCACCTTGTCTGTCACAAAAAAATGATTACCATATATCACACACCTAGATTTTTTGATGTTGGTAGCGAGAGAAAAATATGTCAGCAATGACGAGTAGTAGTAAGTGTGGAACTAAAACAGATGAAACATTTGAAACAGGCTCCCGCACGCATCACGCGCCAGCGTTTGGAACCGCGCCCCTTCGCCCACACGTGAACCATGATTGCGCCCCCGCAGCAGCACCAGGCCTGTCGCGCCCATCTCGCGCCTACACGTGAACCACTAGCGCGCATTGCAATATGTGCAACACCTGATCTACTTTTGAAACATAAAGATGAAATATTTGCAACATACAAACTGAAACAGATGAAACATGCTCTTGAAACATGCGTGTATAGCCATAACAACATATGCAACATCGAGATCCACTTTTGCAACATAAGTCTGAAACATCTGAAACACATGAAAACAAACACTTGAAACATGTGTGTGCAGCCATAGCAACATATGCAACATCGAAATAAAAACACTTAAAACATGCGTCTGAAATAACTGAAACACTTTGAACATAGACTTAAAACATGTGTATGTTGTCATTGCAACATATGAAACATCCCGGATCTATTTTTGCAATATTCAGACGAAACACTTGAGACATAAGTCTGAAACGTTTGAAACACTTGAAACATGATATCGTCGGTGACCATAGCCTACCTGGTGGGGGACTACGGTAGCCAGCAAATTTAGGTTTAAGGGGACATCGAGAGCAACGATTGGCGACCTGCTGGTGACGGGTGGTGGTGGTGGTGCTTTGCACGCCATGGACACGATGAGCGAGACGGATGGGTCGCGGCGGTGCATGCCTCGCGAGGCGCGAGATTGGGCGGGTGCGGCGAGGCGGACGGCGCATCATGACTGCTGCGGGGGAATGCGTAGTCGACGTGACGCTGCGAGCGGACAACGTTAGCGGTCGTGAACGGGGAAAACGTTCGAGAGTGGAAGAACGGGGTTTACCTGTTGAGCCCAATCCATGCGAAGACCCAGGAACGGGGCGTCCGCACCACACGCCGGACGTCCTGTCAAAGCATTATCGAAACGCAATGGCTAGCTGGAGATCCTAGCCGTCCGTATCAATCTAGACAGTCCAGGTTCACCAAATTTTAACTCTTTCTATAAACCCACAGCTGTCCGCACCGCTCTCCAAATCCCAAAACCCTAACCCATCCACCTCCTCTGCCGCCGCCATCATCACCGCCGACAACATGGGAGGAAGAGGAGGCGGCGGCGGCGGCCGCAAGGCCCGCAACTTCGCGACCTTCCGCCTCTTTCCGCGCGCCGGCGCCGCCGACCCCAACGACCGCGTCTTCGTACGCGTCGACAACAACGACTACACCGTCCCCGGGTTCGCCGACGAGGACTCCTTCGACCCATCCCTGTCCGACCCCTCTGCCGGCGATGGAAACTTCCACTCCGCCTCCGGTCCCCTCCCGGAACACGTCCGCCGCGAGATCCTCGAGCTCGGCCTCCCCGACGATGGTTACAACTACCTCTCCCACCTCCGCGAGCTCCGTCCCGCCGCCGCCTCATCCTTCGTCCCCAGCTCCACCGCTCGCCCCGAGCCCCTCCCGCTCGATGTCAAGGTCACTCTTTTTTCGGCCAAAGCACCCGTCCTTTCAGCAACTGGAACCGGAACGCTTAAGTTTTTTTTCCCTTTTCTATTCTATGCGCAGGCTTATGATGCAAGTAGGGTACGGGTTGGTCCCAGCGACGGTGAACTGGACGAGGGGAAGACGATGTGTAAGGTGGCTGCCAAGACTGCACCAGTGAGGCGAATTGAGAAGGCTGTCGACCCAGATGTCGTCAGGTTGCTCGATGAGAGCGATGTGTCTCATGTTGGGTCTGAGGATGAGGGGCTGGAGGAAGATTTTGTCATCATAGCTAACCGGGCTGAGGGGGAGGAGTTGGAGGAAGAAGACATAGAAGAGTGGAATGGTGTTTTGAGTGATGTGGAAGAGGAGTTCGATTTTGAGGAGGATGAGCCAAAGCCAAGAGTGAGACGGTTGCTGGATGAACAATTTGATCTGGTGAGCCTACTTAACTTAACTTATCCCTCTGTTTCTTTCTATATATAAGGCAGATTAAGATTTGGGGATGTCTTTAGAAACATACTTTGACCATCAATTACTCTTACAATACTACCTCAATTGCATCAAAATCAGTTTCTATAAAGAGATATGTGGAATCCAAACCTGTTGATATAACTTCAATGTTAAGTGTGCATACAATTTGAGTAACTATTAATCAAAATCTACTAAGTTTGACATTTGGTCTTTTGTACGTTGGGAAAAAATTGGGGAGTTTGCATTACATGTTATTATGTTGAACTTTTAACATGTCTGTTATAAATTGGGAAAATTAGTCGGAAGGATGTGAGATTATATGCACATAATACTAAGTAATCCAATTTCTTATGCAAAGCAGAAATGAAAGTTCACTTTGATTATATGTAGGCATAAACATATCCAGTGGCGGAGGGTGAACTAAAACGTAGGAGTGGCTAATTTGCTAACCCTTATTAATAGTTACACTTCTGCTACAGTATGAGTGCTTTTGATTCAAAAATGAGTGGACAGCTTCCCCTCCCCATCCCACTTCGTCTCTGATTCGCATCTGCTGGCTCCTTTATTTGCTTGCTGCTTTGATTTGGCTGAGCACTCATCTGGTGCACTCCAATCGCCTTGATGTTTTGCATGCGCTGGTGCACTGTTGTGCTGAGCTGTCGCACTATGTTTCTATCTGCTAGCCTGCTGCAAGGTTCCAGAGCGTGCTGATCCAAGCGAGCAGCCGTTGATTGCGAAACCGTTCTAGCAGTAACATTCAGCCATGGATGCGCCAAGCTTCCAAGCTTGTGTTCTTTGGATCTGTGGTGTTCTGACAGAGAGGTGAGCGTTCAAGTTTTGCAGCAATCAGGGGGGGCCCAGTATCGCCTCCACTGGCTCTGCCCCTGAACCTATCTGTCGTGTCAACTGTACCTCTGCTTTTGTAGCTTTGTGGGGGAATATTAAGGCAAATGGTTAATTATGGATATAACTAAAACTATTTCCCCCTGTACTATGTTGGAAGGTACCCCGTATTACTTGATCTTTGTTTATTATATATAAGTATAGAACTAACTGTGAGCATCTTGGGAGAAGATTTTTCAGGGTTGAGTTAGGCACCTATCAGTTGTAGTATAGAACCTCTGGACAGGAAAGACAAATAATTCGTAGTTAACATACATGATGCCTCATCAGCCATTAGTGTTTATGGCATTTCTAATATAGTCCATTTCTTAAAGTTTTGACTTAGATGCTGTGCTAAAAATATACTTCTTGTGAATAAATTTTCAGCTTGCTTTGGAAGAATATGGAGACAGTGATGATGATGACAGGGTTGTTAAAGATGGGGAATATGAACTGCCAAGTGAGGCTATAGATGAACTGAAATTGTTCCAAAGTCAGAATGTATGTGTTGATGAAGAATATAGAACACCAGCAGATTTTGTTCGTCAAAAAGTGGACTCAAGCACGACAGATGAGGTGGATGAATCTGCTCATGTGATAAAAAAATGTGCTGAATACGCTGAAAGATATTTAAATGAAACTGCAGAAGAAGAGGTGGTTGTACTTGTTTCGGAAAGCAGTGACGAATCTGAAGTTTGGGACTGTGAGACCATTGTTTCCACATTCTCTAACCTTGATAACCATCCTGGGAAAATTGAAACTCCAGGAATCCCCAGAAAGCGGCTCCCTAGAGTTTTCCCTGGAGAAACAACTACGACAAATGACATCATCAAGCTTCATGGGAAAGAGAAACTGCCAGTAGAATACCTGCCACAGAGGAGAAGAAATGGTGAAAAGGAGAAGAAAGTAAAGCCTGTAGAAGCTTCTGTCACTGATAAATTTAAAAAAGGAGCTGAAAAGGAAACAAAAGAGGAGAAGAAGGCAAGAAAGGTAAAAAGGTTTCTAGATGGACCTTATGACTATATATTATGTTTGATTGACTAACGTAGATGTGGAAAAAGGAAGTAAAACATGTTTAGATTGTTTAATCAATTGGTTCTTCATTGGGCCAGTGGGCCTACCTTTCCAAGTTGTGCCTGTGACCTAATTTTATTTTGTAAATGCTTCTAGAGAATAGAGATAAGCAACACGAAGTATTTAGTTCATGATGAACAATATGCATTAGCTTGTGATAAATAGTGTCAACCTTTGGTCACAAGAAATTGTCTCTTTGAGATTTTGACATAGTATTTAACACAGAATTTTGACTAAGTTCCTCTATTGCATATTTTAGATCATGGTTTTTTTTAATGTTATGGTATATTTTGTTTTGTTAAGACAATACTCTATCAGTATATTAGTTTGTGATACAAAGTTGATGTCATTTGATTTGTATTCAAAAAGTACTTATTTATGGTTAAAAGTTTGTATCACAAAAATGATAGTAATTATTGGTCAAAGGCTTGTCCTAACAAAACAAAATACGCCTTAGATTCACAGATAGCGGGAGTAGTTACTTCCTGTGCCAATCCTACTCTGCACAACTGTTCTAATATCAATATAGTAAAAAAATATCGCTAGCTGATGATTTCAAAGGTTTAAATTCACTCATACCAGAATGACAATTTGGTTATTTGTATTGCATTTCGATCTTCCAAATGGCTATAGTTAATAAATTTATCATGCAATGATGCAATGCCTCTCTTTGTCAAGTGATTCGCAAAACTTTCTTAAGAAAAGGTGATTCGCAAAACCTTCTTAAAAAAAGGTGCTTCGCAAAACTTTCTTAAAAAAACGTTATTCGCAAAACCTTCTTAACAAAGGTGATTCACAAAACCTGCACGGCAGTAGATATCATTTATCTTTATGGAACTGATGAAAATTATTTTCACCAGTCTGACATTTTTGGCCTCTGGCCCTTTGCTAACTCTAGGCAGCAGTGAAAGAAGAAAAGAAAGAAGCCCGGAAAGCAAAGAAAGAGCTCAAAGGCCTGTATAAATCAGAAACACAGAAGGCTCAGAAAGTTGCTGCTGTTACTGGACCATCTTCCATACGATTAATGTAAGTCATCATTTTGATTGTAAATTTCATCTTGTCAGCTAAGTTAGACTTATAGGCATTGAGTCGTTGCCCTAGAATCAACCAAAACTCGCTTTGATCCTGATGGCCATGTTGTCTCTTTATAATGAATTCAACCGTCCTTATGCCCTGTTTGATGTGGACTTATTTTGGGTCATACATAAACAATTGGCTTGAAGATACTGTGGAAAACACTTTGGTCTGTTTGAGATCATGACGTGAAATTAAGTTGTTATACTTATACCTCTTTACGGATTCTTAAATGAAATGAGTAATGACTATAACAGGTGATGATCTTTGGCACGTTTACTGATGGAAGTCTTGAAATCCGAAAGACCGGCTGGACAAATGCATCAAAGCTACGAAGGATTCATGATACCAGGTCGTCTTTGTGCCATGCCCGTGGATTTTGTCGACAAGATACCCAATGCACAGTTCTTGCCTTTGAGTTATATAATCCTGATGCATCGTAGAGCTTTTGCGTCTTCTGAAATACGACTCTTGCTATGCTATCCAAAACAGAGGCATTGTAGCACTACTATATACAGTATTAATTCAGTTAATTGAAGGAGAAGAAATGAAATTTATACGACTCTTGCTATGCTATCCAAAACAGAGGCATTGTAGCACTACTATATACAGTATTAATTCAGTTAATTGAAGGAGAAGAAATGAAATTTATACGACTCTTGCTATGCTATCCAAAACAGAGGCATTGTAGCACTACTATATACAGTATTAATTCAGTTAATTGAAGGAGAAGAAATGAAATTTATACGCAATTATTGAAAGCGTGTCAGATCCTTCAAAGGACCTTTACTTCGGAGACAGGTGATTTTGTATGTCCTGTGTGTGGGGTTGTATTACTTGTGCCTGGTATGCGTCTGAATGATGAGAGATCGATCAGGGAGCTCCATGCTCGCCTTATATAAGCCAGAGGGCAAGGGTTACAACATGTGCCTCCTCCGATCTGGTTTAAGATATATACTTTCCTAATTATAGCTACAACACAATCCTGAGACATACGGGATGATGTTTATCTGTCTTTATGTCAAATCAATGAAGATACTGTTGGTGGGTCCCAACCCACCCATGTGCAAAAAAGCTCTAGCTTGACAAACTACTCGAGCCCAACTCACAAAAATCTCGATTTGAGCTGTGCCCGAGCTCTTTTGATTTCGATTCGAGACGAGCTCGAGCCCGGCTCGCGCGAGCCCTAAACAGTAAGCTCAAATAGCTCATTAAGGCTCGTCAGCCATCTCTTATCCCATGCATCTCTCTAGTTTTTAATTTTTCATTATCAACACTTTTCTATTATGGTAATATTTGACTAATACAATTGATACAATGTGAAAGATACTATTTACTCCTTCCGTCCCAAAATACAAGACGTTTTTTATTTTTACACATCTTGTTTGACTGTTTATCTTATTCAAAAAATTTATATAAATATTATTTATTTCTTCTGACTTTTTTTATCATTAGAGATGCTTTAATACTGACTTATTTATTTTATTATTTGCACAAACTGAATAAGATAGATTGTCAAACATGATATCTAAAAGTTAAAAACGTCGTCTATTTTGAGATGGATGGAGTATATTGCTTTATTTCAATAAATTTGTAAAATTTCTCCATTATTTTATTGTTCATTACCTTGTAAAATCAGGGGTGAAGCTATATGTGAATTAGAGGGGGGGGGGCAAATGCACCCACTAAAAATGCGAAAACAATAACCGTGACTAAAATTTCACCATATATGCAGCTCTAAAGCACAAATCTATGCACTCAAAAGGCAAACACACCTCCTCCTTTAAATTATTTTATCTTCGCCGTTGTAAAATAATTATGGTTACTTGCAAACGAGACTCACGGAGCCTACTCAAGCCGAGCTCGAGCCCTACTACAAGCTCGGCCAGATCACAGGCTTGGCTGGAGCTTTTGTCAAGCTCGAGCTTGAGGTGTTAGGCTCATTCAAGCTTGGCTCTTTTACAGTCCTAACAACAGATAATCCCGTGCAGTCCAAAGACTTGCATTTAAACTTGATCAACTCTTTCACAGTGTCACCAAACGACACGCTAAAAACAACCAAGTTCTCATGGATCGATAATCCTGTGATACCTATAGGTGTGCACATCTTCGTCTTCATCCTCACACAATGCCATAGGATAATCCACCAGATAATGCGATGATTATCATTTAGAGACGGAGACACTAGATCATCCTATGATCAATAGAAGCCAACTCCGATGATACATGGTGTCACTGGATGGTCTTGATCAAGCACTTCGCTGCACTCTGAACTTCAAATTTTGAATCCGTTTCAATTTAGAACTCCACCAATTCTACTTCTTTGACTCCCTAATTTCTCATCTTCTCGAGCTATATAGTCCAAGCTTTCACTAGTGTGCATCACTCCCAATACTTTTGGTTAAACCCTAGATCAAGCTACTCATCTTACCCCCTCTGTTGGAAGTACATACAAAGGAAAACAAAGGCCTATTCTACTTTTAATTGCATTGCAACACCAAGTGGCACTTGGAGTAATATAATTGTTAGCCTTTGTGAATATGCTATGCGTCCGATATTTTTAGAAAGTTAGAATCCGACAACAGGGGGCAAAAGAACCATTGTGACTAATCAAAACAATACCCCAACAAACACATGTTAATGACAAGAATAATCATCAAAACCAAATTAGGAGCCTAACTGCCCTTTCATTTAGTTTGATTTTTTAGTATCTGTTTTTAAATATATATGGCACATAAGACAGGTCATTTGGATCAAAATAAACTAATTAGCTTGTCCTAACTATCCAAAGGTAGTATGCTTAGCTTGAGTCTTGAGAACCATGTCTCCATCGGTAGTTACAATGCTACTGGTACTTGGCAGCGGTAAAACCGATTGTCAGAGCATATTAGGACAACTTAACAAAAAAAAAGGTGCAAAAACTCAAAATTGATATGAAAATCCTCCATTTAAAGGCCGAGGATTTGATCCTTGAACTAGAAAAGGCAAAGCAAGCAGCAATAAGGCAACAAAATCTAACTCACAAATTACTCGTCCCTAGAAATCAAGGATCCTTATAGATAGCTGATGCTACTGCAGCAGACTGAACAATTCAGAGAAACAATATACAGCCTGTTCGCTTGCTCGTAAACGATCGTAAATTTCCAGCCGGGAACAGTGTTTTTCTCTCACACCAAACCAGCCAGCAGTAAATAATCCACGATACGATACGGCCTCCCGAACAGGCCGATATTCCAGGCTAGAAAGATGAATTTGAAGGCTTTGCCACTCCAAAGAAAATGAGATCGCGCTACCCTTTGACGTTTGCTCAAGATGTTCATTTATATTGGTCATGGAGAGCACACCTTTCTTTCTTCCAGTGCAGATTACATGGGGCTTGGCAGAGTCTGGCAAGTTATGAGCCTATATCCTGAACCACTAAGACCCCTCTGACATCTGAGCCTCCAAGCCAGACACAAATTTCAAATATCCCGCAGCTCAAATATTTTGCCCCAAATCGCCTCTGTAATAAGGATTTAATCTGCTCCTTGCGCTTAGCAGCTGCAGAAGCAGATTCAACAACCAAAGATGCATTTTACAGTAAAATTCTCACTAAAAAGGACATGATATTTTGGGCCTTTATGTGATCACAATGACATTTTTGAGCTTCAAAGGCAACCGGCACAATCTAGCAACCTGTCAGCTCTGGCTATCTTCGAAGTGCACGGAATTTTTCTCGTTTGCGGAAACGCTGAAGCATGAACTCATCACTCGCAGCTTCTCTCCGTCCTGCACCAACACCATCTGGTTTTTTAGTATCTGTTGCTTTGCCTCCTGAACTTCCACTAGGCCGAGAATCATTATCTTTGTACAACCCAGGATTCTCTGCATTATAAGGAAATAAATTTAGCACACTTAAATGAGAACAGAAAGGATCCAGATGATATGACATGCTTAGACACCCTTGAATGATAGAGCTCAGAAATAATATCACTATCACTGTGTATTGCAGTAATCTGCTGCAGCAGAACGGTGCACAGAACATAATCTATTTTTTATATTCTAATAACACTCACCATCCATATCCCTAACATTATGTCAATACTCCTGCTACTGGCCTATTGAGTATCTACTTTCATTATAGGGTACGGAAATTTTCATTTTATTGTCTAGTTCTTCCATCTAGTGGGTTCCAACTATAACAGCCAGATTAAATCTTTTTGTAAATAACCACAAGTACTACTCCCTCTGGTCAAAAGTATATGACATTTTTTTTTTACTTTTTTCATTCTTCATTCAAGGTGTGACTTTGACTATAACTTTGTATTAAGAAATAGTTATAATGCCTAATAAATATATGCGATTATGTCATTATGGAAGTGTTATTCAAAACAAATCTATCCATACCATAATTATATCTTTAAACTAAATACTTTGAGAGCTATTAGTTGTCAAAGTTTCAGAAGTTTGACCGGATTTTAGTCAAAGCTAGCAATAGGGCACAATAAGTTGCTCTATAATTTGCCACTAGCGACATAAATACAGGACACTTTCCAGCGCAGTCAGAGCAGAGGACAGCAAGAGAAACCAACAATGTTCAAATTCTCCAGGAAGAATTATATCCATACTTTAGTGTACTGAGTATGTTTAACTGGATTTCAAAGCTGACATTTTTGTCATGGTCAGCCAGAGCAGAGGCAACACAGAACCACTCTGGGGATAACAGATCAGACATGAGGGCTTAGGCAGCCTGGGCAGTAACAGACTCAAGTTGATAGTTACTGTACTTTCTTTAATCACATATCTTATTCGAATTGAACTAGTTTAGTTTCGTTGGTTCTATATAGCTTAGCATCTGTCATCATTAGAATTCAAACATCAACAATAAATCTGTTGCCCCAACTCCATTTTCTCCAGACGCCCACTGTCCACAGGTTGCCATCACGGCACCTGGATGCCGGGATAATGAATCAAAACAGGGCACAACATTTGTTGCGTATATCAATCTATGCTGGATAAGTTTGGCACTATTTTCTCCTCCATTCACCACAGACGCCCACTGACCATGTTGCTACCATGGCACCTTGATGCCAGGGACATGAACTTCAATCACAGAACAAAGCACAGTAGTCATGTATGACGAGAAAATCTAAAACTAATCTTTATGTTTTACTCAAAAGGTCCATCTTTTGTTTCCGGATAATCCCCTCAAGCATATAATGATATAAATCTCACTTTACCCCCTAATGACATTTGCCCCCTTTTTTTTCCCCTCTTTGTACACTCTTGTGCATCAAGTTGTAATTTGTTGTGAAATATCCACACTATTTCTCATGAATATTTGCAAACATTTAATATCTTAGGTACGCCCAACTTTTACAATAGGTATAATAATTTCATAAATATTATGATATTTACTGTACAATGGCATCTATCATCCCACAAAATTTCAATTTACAGCTTGTATACAAACAACTCATAAAAACAAAATGTCAATACGGAGTGATGTGAAGTGGTTTTTGTAGTTTGGCGCCCAAGACAAACAGAAGTTATCTGGAATGCAGAAAAAACTTCAGGAAAGTAAAATGAAGTTTTTACTTAAAAGAAAGAAAACAATCTTGAATGAGAATACTAGTCTAAAATAATTTGTGGTCAAATAAATCTCAAAAGGGACTATCAACAAAAATGTTTGTGCCACAAGCAGGGATGTTGGAGGGTGGTGTAGGTCATAGTCATGGGAAACTGGGAAATACTAGGACGTGGTTGCAAAGTTCTAGGGTCTAGATGACAAAAAACTTTCCTTGTATTAGAGAGAGCTCCATGACAATTTTCCAAAAACTGCTGAGAAGGATACTTGGTCTTTTATTCAGGGTTCTGGAGAATCTGTTACTAAAAGGCCTATCTGTTAGAGATAGCGCTCCTGAGGTTGTACTGGTGATGGATTGGAGGCCTAGGCTTGAACACGCGACGACAAACGGGCGGCGCCGTGCTCGGCACCTAGGGTTGCGGCTAACGACAACAAGATGACGGTGAACAGGAAGTAAGGGCCAGGTGCCCAAGGGAGACGTAAGTCTCAATCCCAGGCTGAATCGTATTAGAAGCAAACTGTTTAACTTATACAAGACTCAATAACCAACTTCCTAATCTTTAGGGAATAAATCAACCGACTAACCGACTCTAGATATGCTTAACAACTTAACGACAATAGACTCATATGCCTAACTCCTTCGCCAAAGGGGTGGTGACCATGGCCAGCCGGCTCCTTTGGCGTGGCCTTAGCCACTTGCCTTGTCGCTTTGGCTTATCCCGCCGATGGTACCTTGCCCACCATAACATCTCTCCCTCCTCGACAAACAGCTCGTCCTCGAGCCGGAAGTCGAAAAAGCGAAGTCTTGAAATCATCGACCGGTTCCCGGTGGCTTGAGACTCATCGGGCGTCCATTTGATGAGGACCAGCCCGATCTGCGCGACGCAATTGCCTTTGAGAGCGCTTCGAGTTTCAAAGCAGCAGCAGCCGTGACGAAGTGGAGGCGATCTGCGGCGAGATCGTTGGTGGCGTTCACGCCACGGCTTGAGGACGCCGACGTGGAAAACATCATGGATCCCGGCACCATCGAGCGGTGAAGACGATAGGCCACGGCACCAATCCGCTCCGGGACTTGGTACGGTCCGGTAAACGTGGCTCTCGGCTTGAACGCTTGCGGCACACCGGGGGCGTGGCGGTGGGCGGAAGCAGCCGAGTAGCACCCAATCGCCCACGGCAAACTCCACGGCGCGATGATGACCATCATAGTGACGCTTAGCATACTCCTGAGCCTATAGGAGGCGTTCACGCACATCCTGCAAAAACAAGTCCCGATCCCGAAGAAGAGTGTCCACTGTCTCCGTCGAGGCCGAGCCTTCGTATGGCAGTAGAGCAGGTGGAGGCCGGCCGAAAACCACTTCAAAAGGCGTCGTCTTGAGCGCCGAATGATAGGACGTATTGTAACAATACTCTGCCCAAGGAAGCCACTCCAACCACGCACGAGGCCGATCTCCTGTAATGCAGCATAAATACATAGCTATGGTCTTGTTGACAATCTCCGATTGGCCGTCGGTTTGTGGATGAAATGTCGTGCTCATGCGAAGCTGCACCCGCGCAGCAGAAGAGGTCTTTCCACACATTGCCGTGAAGACCGGGTCCCGATCACTCACGATCGAGCGAGGAACCCATGTAGCCGAACGATGGCCTTGAAGAACACCTTGGCAACCGATCTTTGCGAGCAGTACGGGTGGTGAAGCGCAATGAAGTCGCGCATGCTTCGAGAAACGGTCCACCACTGTGAGAACCACGCTCTTTCCATTTACGCGAGGCAGCCCCTCCACGAAATCCATAGCAATGTCCGACCAAACCGAAGAGGGCACCGCTAATTGTTGCGGCGATCCGTGAGGTGGAGGGACTCGATCTTGTTCTTGGCGCACACAAAGACAGCACGCACAAAGTCCTCCACCAGCCGGCGATCATGGTCGACGAGGAAGTGTTGACGGAGGCGCTGCAGGGTCTTTTGTATGCCTTCGTGCCCAACCGAGTGGGAGAGCTCGATCACCGTAGGTACCAATGGGGACGTCGCGGGCACAAAGACTTGGGTGCCCCGGAGCACCAAGCCGTCCATCGATCGCCACGGGATCGCCATGGCCATCGGCGACCACCGTGTCGCGAACGCCCGAAGGTTGGGGTCGCCCCGGAGCTCTTGCCGAGCACGTCGTAGAGTGAAGCGACGGACCACCGAAGCGCCAGAAATGCGTCGAGGCGCGTCACGGCGACCACTTCATCATCATGACGAGATAGCGCGTTGGCGGCGATGTTGAGGCACCCCGCACATACTCCACGCCGAAATCAAAACCGAAAAGCTTGCTTACCCACCGATGTTGCGCGCACCGTGGGACGGTACGTTGATCGAGCAAAAACTTGAGGGCGAAGTGGTGGTCGCGGACGGTGTGGACCAAGCCGATGAGTTCCCGCTCATAAGTCGCAAGCTTCATGTGCCATGGCCTTAGGGCCGGTGAAAACGCGAGCGCCATCTCCTCGATGTAGGACCGCGCCAAACCCGGGCCCGAGGCATCGCAATCCACCAAGAACGGTGATCAAATGCCGTGAATCGCAGAATCAGCGCCGTCGATAGTGCACGCTTGAGGCGGCGAAAGCGATAGTAGCCTCCTCGATCCATGTGAACCCATCGTTCTTGGCTTGGCTTGGTGAGAGGAGCGACCACGGCGGCGTACCCTTGGATGAAGCGGCGGTAGTAACTCGCTAACCCAGAACCTCGCGCAGCAGTCGAGGTGCGCGAGGTCATGCGGCGAGATGATGTGGCCGCCACCTTGTCTTGATCCATGGCGACTCATTTTCTTTGAGATGACATGGCCGAGATAGGCCACCGTCGGTTGAGCGAAGAGCACTTAGAAAGCTTAAGCCGGAGTTGATTAGCCCGCGCCGAGAGGATCTGCATTGAGATCTTTGCAGTCGAGACCAAATTGAAATTGTATATAAGTATATCATCAAAGAACACGAGTACAAACTTGCGGAGGAGCGGCCAAGGACCGAGTTCATCAAGCTCTGAAAAGGTGGCGGTGCGTTTGTCAAGCCGAAAGGCATAACCGAGCTTCGAAGTGGCCCTCATGAGTGCGGGCGCGCGTCTTCTCAATGTCATCGACGCATACGCGCTTTGGTGATACCCCCGCGGAGATCGAGCTTCGTGAAGTAGCGGCGCCCTTGAGTTCATCGAGCGGCTCCTCGACCACGGGGATGGGAAATTTATCCTTGATTGTCTGCTGGTTGAGTCTTGCGATAATCAACACAGAACCGCCACGACCCATCATGCTTCTTCACCAAGAGCACCGGAGCCGAGAACGCCGACGTGCTAGGCCGAATGACGCCCTGTTGCAACATGACTGCACATTGAGCCTCCAATTCGTCCTTCTCGCATTTGCGGGTACACAGAAGGCGCATCGCTACCGAGCCGTGTTAGGCGAAGAATGTATTCGGTGATCACATGGCCGCGCCGGTGGCAGTCCTTGTGGTGCAGCAAAGACATCATCGTAGGAGGCCAGCAAGGTGTCCAGAAGCGGCTTGGTAGCGTCCATAGCGTAGAGATGAGTGGACTGGACGTCATACCTTGGCGAACCAATGCCCCGCCAGAAAACACGGTGCCCTCCACGGGTGAATGCCATGCACAAGTCATCAAAATCCCATAAGATCGGTCCCAATGTCCGCAAGAAGGTGATTCCGAGGACCATGTCCCATCTGTCGAGCGGGATTGTGTAGCAATCCACGGCGAATGCGTCGTCTGCGATGCGAATGCCCACGTCATAGGCCAGACCACGGCAGTCCAAGCGGTCGCCATTCGCGACTGTGACGCCTGCGCCCGGGCACGGCTGGAAGCGGATATCGGCCCGACGCGCCACCACGCTACTGATGAAATTATGGGTGGATCCTGAGTCCACCAACGCAATGCACTGCTCACCACCGACTTGCACGTAGACCTGCATCGTGGTGGCAGTTGGAATGCCCGCGATAGCCGCCAAAGAGATGTGGGTCAGGCCGAGTGCGGCGGCGGCGTTAGGCTCCTCGTCCTCAGAATCCGAATCAGGCTCCTCCACAATGTAGTCAGCGGCCTCCAGGTAGAATAGGCGAGCACACTTGTGCCCTTGGACGTATGGTTCGTCACAATTATAACACAGCCACCGCTTCGGCGTTACGCCATCTCCGTGGGCGTCAAGTAACGGAAGAAGCGGCTTGAAGATGGCCGCAGGTGGCGTGGACGATGATGATGAGCTCCCAAAACGCCCCGGTGAGGTCTTGGCGCGAAGACGCCGAGCGCGCTACCGGCCTTGAGTGCCTTGGCGGCGTTCCGGCTCAAAGGCCGAACCAACCGCATCGCACGGTGAAGATCTGCAGGCTCATGGAGTTCCACGTCCCACCGGTGAAGAGCTGGGCCTGCTGGAGCGGATCTAATCGACCTGCGTGTGCCAGGCGGGCCTGGAACGCCGACATGTAGGCGTCCACCGTGGACGTAAACGGTAGTTGGGCGAGGTCGGCCGATGGTTGGTCGACAAAAGCCGGACCGGTTACCGGTGGCACGAAGCTCAAGTTGGCCCACGATGGTCGTCCCGTGTCGCGCTTCGAGAATGTAATACCATCTTCGAAGGCGTCCCGGTCATGTGGAACGAGGCCAACCAAACTTTGTCGACCTCCCTGGTGAGCTGGCCACGGAAAAAGGATTCGCACCGGTTGAGCCAGCCCAGGGGGTCCTCTTTGCCGTCATAGAGCGAGAACGAGCTTGTGGAACTTGGGAACGCCATAGCCTTCATTGTGATCGTCCGGTGTGGGGCAACATCGGGATCGGTTGGCGCGCGTTCATGGTGCACCACCGTTGAAGACGCGTCATGATCGCGGTCCCCATGATAGATGAAAATGTAGGCGCGGGGAGGCGAGTGCGGGAAGGGATGCTCTAGATCGGCGGCCGGTCGGCGGAGAGGTTGCGGAGGTGGAGCCGATGGATGAATGTCTTGGCGAATCTGCGGCGTGGGTTGTGATGACGAAGAACCCATTGTTGTCGCCACCGATGCTTGGAAGGAAGGGCGGGCATGATCTCCAAGATGACCGGCCGGGGCCGGCGATCTTGCGGATGCCCCATACCCGGCATCTGTCCGTGGGCGTGGGCCTGTGGCGCAGAGTAGGGAAGACCCACGAACGGTGCCGCGGGCGCCTTGACGGACGAGAGCGGGCGCGACATCTCCCCATCCGTGCCACCGCATGCTATTGACTAGCGTGGTGAGTTGGTGCTTTGCCGTGCATGAGGATCGCCAAGGACTCCTCCATGGTCGGTGCCGCGGTAGGAATCTGGACGATGACACCGATGCCGTCGTGGACGCCGGGTCAACGTGCCGTGTGGGCGGATTCACCGCGATGGAAACGGGCACCCGAGATCGACATGGACGATACCACATTGTTAGAGATAGCGCTCCCGAGGTTGTCTTGGTGATGGTGGAGGCTCGGGCTTGAACACGCCGACGACGAGCGGCGCAGCATTGCGTTTCGGCGCCCTAGGGTTGCGCTAACGACAACAAGATGACGGTGAATGCGAAGTAAGGGCCAGTGCCCAAGGGAGACGTAAGTCTCAATCCCGAGTCAATCGTATTAGAAGCAAACTGTTTAACTTATACAAGACTCAATAACCAACTTCCTAATCTTTAGGGAATAAATCAACCGACTAACCGACTCTAGATATGCTTAACAACTTAACGACAATAGACTCATATGCCTAACTCCTTACGCCAAAGGGTGGTGACCATGGCCCGGTGGCTCCTTAGGCGTGGCCTTAGCCACTTGCCTTGTCGCTGGCTTATCCCAACCGATGGTACACCTTGCCCACCGTAACACTATCCATCTTTAGCGGGAATCTGATTCTGATGGGAGTATTCTTTCATATTTTTCTACAACGAAAAAATCCGAACTAGCGACAAGCTAGATAAATAGTAAATAAAAATGGAGTTATCAAATACTTGTCCTCCTTTAACACACTTTGGATTTAGTTCAAATAATGTTGGAGTATGATAGATGTAATATGTCTCTTCAAAATTTTATCTGGATGCAAAATCTTAAGTCGGCTCGAAACAGTCAAGACGCTCGTTGTGCTCCCTTGATGCCTTCAAAAGAGCAAGTGAATTTCAAAATGATTCCTCCAAGAAACAGAGATAGAAAAATCTTTTATTTGTCAATATAGGGGCAGTTTGTGTTTGCTTTATTGTCATGTGCAGTCTTAAGCAGTTGTAGCTTGTAGGAAAGCAGTCGTGAAAATTTTACTTGGTAAATCAAGTTTGGTTTACATAAACTATGACACTATGTTATGCAAGTACTATACAAATACGATATTGCTTCCCACACATTTGTTGTGTAATTGAAAATGCATTAGTGTTTCTATTTGCAACCTAGATTGAAAGAAAAGCAGCTAGCCAACTGTCAAGCCCTGAAAATTCTAAAGGCAGTTCTACCTAACAAGATTATCCTAATACATATCAATATCAGAAGAAACTGTAGAGTACCTATGTCAATTGCTATATCTGGTCCAGTTGTATACGTCTTGTCTCCTTTTCTTTATTTCTGGCCTTACATTTTTATTTTTTATTTCCCACATTAAATCATATGATTTATCAGTAGGGTTCCCTCCAGTTTCTCATCAAAATAATCTTGAAAAGGGGCATGTAACAAACCTCTTCGCAGTTTCTCATCATATTCTTTACCACGGTGGAAATAATCAGCACTGTAACTTGATGGAATGTTTGCATCTGATTTTGGTTTACTCGCAAGCCTTTTCTCTTGCAGCACCTTTTTAGCTGCCTCAGTTTCTTCGATATTTCTTAATTTGTACCTGTGGAAATAAAAAAAATGATAACATGGAATTGCATGTAATTGTGCATCTACCTTTGAAAAGAAAGTCTAGTACTAGAATAAAATTTAAACTACAACACAGATAAAAATATTAGAAAAACAGAGAAGCTCTGCCTAGGTTAGATTGTTGGGTCCATGATGCTCATAGAACTGTGGTGATGCATGACATATCTTTGTAATGGAGTCCTAATTTGAACATATCATTGTTGTATAGTTTAGTCACAATAAATTAATGGTGAGTGAATACATACTGAGATCAAGTTCTGTGTCTACCAATCAATGTATGTCCACTTAATCATAAACTAGACCATTAGCTAGTTTCCTTCTTCACACAATATTCTCAAGAAATTGTTAGCTGCAATATGAAAGGATTTCCAGCCAAATTATCAAAGACAATGTTAAGTGTGGACCAGACTTTTGTCAAACAAAAACAAATAGTGCAATAGAGAAAAAAAAATGTTGGGTCACACACTCAATGGGCAGCTGAACTTCAGCAATGCCAGTGGTCCATTGTGTCGAGCTCTCCTCTGAGTTCTTCTTCTTCACCTGCAAGGAACAATACAACGGTACCATCATCGAAGTCCACAGAACAATGTGCAATTCTCAGGTTGAGGAACTCGGTTCAGCCACAAGCAAACCTTGAGGTGGTCTGGCACAGTGTAGAGCTCGTCCACATGGTCCATCTCTTCCTTGTGTCCCACATCAACTATCTTACCCCTCTTCTTCGCCAGCTCCGTTTCCACATACCTCAACCTTCAGGTTAAGCCAACACGTACTCGTGTCAACTGTCAATTCCTCAATCTATTAGATGAAACAACATGCGTATACAAGTGCAGCACAATACATGTTGGGGTCCTCGATGGTGACGGCGGTCTCCTGAGCGAAGGTGTCCTGGAGGACGAGGTCCTCCTTCTCAGCCTCACCGGCGGCCGCTGCCCCGCTGCCCACTCGACCACGGGCGGAGGACCCGTTAGTGGATGCGGCGGCGGGGCCGGCGGGGATACCCAGCTTCCTCTCCCGGAGCTTCTGCATGTACTTGATCTCCTCGAGGGCGACGCTGCGGTGGGAGGAAGGGAGGCAGGCATCAGCGAGAAGGCCTAACAAAGCAAGAGAGAGGAGTGGATTGGAAGGAGGGGTACCGGCGAGTGTCCTCGTCGTCGGAGCGGTCGTCAGTGTCCGGCTCGATGCCCCGCTTGCGGAAGTTTCTCGGCATAGTGGGGAGGTGTTGCCGTGTTGGGCTCGGGCGGGATTTGAGGTAGGGAGGAGGGTCGACCGGGTAGGGCGACGATCGCCGGGGGTGTGGCCGGCGGCGAGGTGTGCCGATGAGGAGAGCAGATTTGGGATTGGAGGGTTTGAATCCCAAACGAGTTTTTCAGGTCCAGGGCTCCGGGCCTCCGGTGGCCAGGCCCAGGTGAGCCCGGCTAACCACAAAGCATGAACTGGATTGAGTTACAGTAACTGCCATGTGGGCCCGTCCGTCCTTTGCCCGTTTTAAGCTTGAGTTTCAAGCGCAGTTCATTTTGGTTTACCAAATCCCCAAATCCAATAGATAATCTCAAGTTTTAATAAAATCTACCTGCATTGAATCTATAATAAAGTGTTACTCCCTCCGTTCATTTATCTCTTTCATCTCGAAATGTCAACGGGGAATTCCCCGTCGGGGCTTACTGCCCTATCTCCGTCTCCACGAGGGCAAATTTCCCCCGTCCCCGTCCCCACGAAGGCTCATGGGGAGCACTTCTTCCCCATCCCCGTCCCCACGCGGGGATTTAATCCCCGCGGGGATCCTTGTCCCCGCATCAACTCGCCACCTGAAGTACTAGCTCTGTTGAAGGCCAGTAGCAGCAGCAGAAACATAGGGCCATGCTGGCCTATTAGTTCAAAATGGAAACCAACGGCCCAGAGAACACAATTTAGCTTTGTGTTTGGTTGGGGTGCCCCTTCTTTTATAGCTCCCTCCCTCCGCGCTCCGCTCTCCGTAGCCGATGTGGTACTAAAGCTTTGCCTTATCTCCACCAAACGCAACGGCTGCAGACGGGGTCTGGCAACCTGAGCGAGGAAAGCAAAACCGGGCCGTGTTTTTTTATTGGGCCTCCCATCGCATCCGCCCCATTGCTCGAACAGGGGAGGAGGCTGTCAGGCCGGGCCACGCGCATCAACTACGCCCCCACGCATCGCAAGCCGCTGGCCCAGCTCTTGCACTACGACGGGCCGGCCCAGCTTCTCCACAGCGCCAGCGCTCAGCGCCTAGTGGCCCACGCGCTCTCTTTCTTCTCAGCCCAGCTACGTGCTCAGCAGACAACTAGCCCAGCTAGCTTAAGCAGCAGCCTCCTTAGTGCACATGGAATTGGGCCTTCTCAGATGGGCCTTAAACATTTTGGGTCCCCGCGATGAACGGGGATGGGGGCATGCATACCATCCCCGCCCCCATCATACCCGATGGGGATGATTTTTCTCCATTTAATTCTTCATGGGGAGAAGATTTGTACCATCCCCGTCCCCTAATGGATGAATTCCCCACGGGGAATCGAGGAACGGGGCCCCGTTGACATCTTTACTTTCATCTATGCAATTTTTTTCCCAAAAGTCTCCTTTGTATTAGTCTGGGACAACGGGTTTGGCTTCTCATACGTGCTGCGCATTTGGTGCTCACTGGCTGCTCCTTGTCTGCATTTATTGATCCTTGGTTGTTCATTGGTTGCAACTCCTTGGCTGCTCCTTGCCTTAAATGTAAATCGGCATTGTTTGCTGCTCCTTGGTCATTGCGTCGAAGACTAATACGATGGAGACTTATGGACAAAGGGAGTATCATTTAGGGTTTAGTCGAAGAGCCAGGTAGAGGCGACTGTTAGACAGCTTTTCGAGGTGAGTGACTGCTAGGTACCAAATGAAACACACCCTTATGATATATATAATTAACATTCTACATAATCTTTTTATGAGAATTGGTCTAAAAATATCGTATTTAAGTAATTAACACCTTAATTAATGAACATAGAAACCATCTAGGTTCATGGTTAGGAGTGCCTAACACACAACTAACATCTAAGGTGGAACTAAACTTTCGATAATCTAACATTAATGTCGGGTTCATAAACCCGGGGTCCCCAATGGACTCGCTTCCTTGTAAAACCCGGCCCAGCAAGCGACGCAGCGACAACGCGCCCCTAGGCCAGCCCAACCACATAATGACAGGCCGGGACAACGATTCGGTCCCTGACCGGAAGGCCTGGCCAAGGTGGGACCGTAGTCCAGCTCCGACCTCCTTCTCCGACCGAGGATACGCCAGACCTCTGCTCGCTGCTCTTTTCCGATCAACACGGTCGGGACCGACTGGGAACGACTGACCGGGGACGCCCGCTCGGTGAGGGCCCGGGGATCAGGCGGAGCAGATAAGGTAAGGCGCTCAAGTCAACCGTAATACCGAGGACCGTACCCTGTCATGCCCTGCGCACCTGCAGGACGGTGCCACCAGGCCATGCCAGACAAGCACTATACAACCTTCCAGACGCGTCAAAGCACAAATAATATTGTAGACGCCGACGTTTGTCGTACCAGGCGAACACAATAGAGCCTACCAGATGCGTCTAGACATAAATAGTATTGTAGGCGTCGATAACCGTCTCGTACCTGACAGCATGGGCAACATGACTAGGTAGCACACGTATGCACACACACTCTCTCTTTGACTTGTAAGGCCATCCCCTTCAAACTATAAAAGGGGATGAGCTCTCTCCTAAAAGCTAGCTGGAGAAAACAAAGAAAGGGCTAGACAACTCGTGGACTCGATGACCTGAGGACTCAAACAGCTCAATGGCTCTAGAACTCGATAGCTGCACAGAGCATACGCTCCAATACTTAGCGCACGTTAGAGCATCCGTCACTCTCGGCCACTCGGATCGGAGTCCGACCGGACCTCTAACACCCCCTTCTCATTCCTACTCGTTTATAACCCCACAGCAAACTTTGAGCACCTAGGCTCAGGAATAAAGTCACCGACCGACTAAAGCTGGACGTAGGGCACATTGCCTGAACCAGTATAAATCCTATGTCATTGAGTGCTAGGCCACATCCGATCACAACACACGGCAAAACTATAAATATTTACTTGTTGGTCATTTTTCGCATCGACAGTTAGCGCCGTCCGTGGGGAAGACGCCGTGCGTTCATGCTTTTGGTCATCGGATGGCCCACCTTTCCACCATCTTCGGCATGGCGGGCTCGAGCGATACAATTCGCTTTGCCTCACTGGAGTTTCCCACACTCCCACCTGTTGGGGTGTGGGTTCCTCCCGTCTCCGAGCCACTCCAGACCTTCCTCTTCAGAAGTCTGGACTTCGTCGCCGACTAGCTCGACGTACTCCGCCTCTGCGAGGAGGCGCTCGTCCTGGTGTCCACTGGAGGAGGAGCGCCCTCCACCAGCCCTGGGCCACTCGACGACCTCAATGTCGAGACACTCGCGCTTCGCCTCGAGCCCATGCTGGGCTTGAACCCCCACAGTGAGTGATGTACATATTGTTCTTTACTCACTATTTAATACCTTCCACTGACTCTCCGAAGGGACCCCATTGTCCTCACTACGACCGCCGTACGACCGGTCCCCCTACAGCTTCGCTTCCCCCATGGACGTGTGCTCGCGGGGGCTTCAAAGGATGCCGATGCCGCCCCCTCTCATGTCCGAGTTTGTGGGGATGGCAGGCTACGCTCCTGCCTCCTTCCACGACCTCGTCGATGATGAGGTCGAAAGCGACGGCTCTAGCATCAGCGACATCGTGGCACCTGACCACCCTCTGTCCCGAGAGTGTGCTATGGCGGACGCCCTGGGATAGCCACCGGTGGTAGTGGAGTCTGTGCAGACTCACACCCCTCCGGACCCTAGTGCGAAGGCCCTGGTGCGTGCGCAGGAGCACGGCGAGGAGTTACGACAAAGACCGCAAAGCCAGTCGCCACCTACACTGGCGCGCTCGGCGTAGCACGCTACGCCACATGCGTGTAACCCGGCGAGTGGCGCTCGGGGTCGCGCCCGTCAGGTCCAGCGTAACATCCTAGACGGAGGGAACAACCCCCTCAGTTTGCTTAGGCTGGCCAGAACATCGCTGTTGCGGCAATGCTTCTGCGCGGCCTCCCCAAGCCTACCGACCCCTAGGAACAGGCAATCCACCACAACCTTCGGGCGCTGGTGGAGACCACCACCGTTTAGTAGATGGAGAGCTCCACGTCGCGACACCGGCTTAGGGCCTCTTGCTCAACTAGGGGATTGGGGCCGCACTAGTTGAATCGCTCCATCCACTCACTGTAGCAGTTGCCAAGCGTGGAGTAGGAAGCCACGGCAGCACCACGGCCCAACCCGGCGCCCGCTCCACACCAACCACCTATGCACGAACGGCTTGGGCCAAACCGTGATGCGCACAGTGTCATCAACAATCGATGCCACGCCTGGCACGATGATAACGCCTATCAAATGGCGGCGAGACCAGGCGGCGCGGGCCCTGGCCTGACCATTGAGGAGTACGGGAACACGCACCTAGGCATGGTGGCCAACCAAACGACCGGAGCCCTAGTCTGGACGGCTCGGGGCCACGGGCCTTTGGTTGTCGCATCTAGAAAGCGTCGTTCCCACAGCGCTTTTGACCGTCCACCAACATCGCCAGATACACCGGGGAAACGAACCCCGGTATATGGCTCGAAGACTTTCGGCTCATCTACCGAGCCGGAGGAGTGGATGATGACCACTTAATCATCTAGTACCTTCCCATCTGCATGGAGGAGCATGTTCAAGCATGGCTCAAATTTCTTCCACCCGACAGCATCTGCGACTGGGCGGATCTAAAGAGGGTCTTCGTCGGAATTTTTTAGGGGACATATGTCCATCCTAGAAATTCCTGGGACCTTAAGAGCTGTCATCAGGAGCCCAATGAGTCCCTATGGGATTACATCTACAGGTTCTCAAAGCGGTGCAACTCCCTTCCTGATGTCATCGATGCGGACGTCATCGGCGCATTTCTCTCTAGGACAACCTACGAGTCCTTGATCCATAAGCTCGACTACGTGAAGCCCCGTACCACCCGCGACCTGCTCAACATCACCATGAACCACGCCTCTAGTGAGGAGGCGGTCGAGGCGGTCTTCAGCGGTGATCAGGACAGGGGCAAGGCCAAGCACGAGGACCAAGGCAAATGCCCCTCCACACAAAGGGGCAAGAAGAACAAGAAGG